GTTATGCTGCAGTAGCAAAAGATACCCAAATCTCAGTGACTTAAAAGAACAATAGTTTATTATACACTTTTGCTACATAATGTTGAGGGTTGGTGGGGGGCTTTGCTCTGTGTGGTCCTTACTCAGGGATTCAGGTTGACAGAGCCTCCACCATCTAGATGTTGCCAGTACCACGGCAGGAGGAAGGAAATATGAAGGATTATATACTGTTTTTTTTAAATTTTAATTTCGTTATTATTATTATTTTTTAGTTGAAGTATAGTTAATTTACAACGTCATGGTAGCTTCAAGTGTACAGCAAAATGATTCAGTTATACATACATACATATATATGTATATATATTCTTTTTCAGATTCTTTTTCCTTATAGGTTATTACAGAATATTGAGTATAGTTCCCTGTGCTATACAGTAGGTCCTTGTTGGTTACCTACTTTATATATAGTAGTGTGTATCAGTTAATCACAAGTTCCTAATTTATCTCTCCCCTGCCTCCCCCATACTGGTTCTTAAATGCTTCTACCCAGAGGGCACAAGTGTCTCTTCCACTCATGTTTTTTTTTTTTTTTTGCAGTACGCGGGCCTCTCACTGTTGTGGCCTCTCCCGTTGTGGAGCACAGTCTCCGGACGCGCAGGCTCAGCGGCCGTGGCTCACGGGCCCAGCTGCTCCGCGGCATGTGGGATCTTCCCGGACCGGGGCACGAACCTGTGTCCCCTGCATCAGCAGTCGGACTCTCAATCACTGCGCCCCCAAAGAAGCCCTCCATTCATGTTTTATTGGACTGAGCAAGTCACATGACATCACCTAACTTCAAAGGAACAGAGAAGTGTAATCCTCCCTCCTGTGAGGAAATAGAGAGGAACCCGAAGTGGGTGGACAGTAACAATGCCTGTCATACCCACTCTCACCAGAAGGCAGCAGAATGGTAAGGGCTTACAAGATGCCCTCTGCTGGGGGAGGGTGACCAACTGTCTCGTTTTGCCTGAGGAGTTTCCTCAGGACATGGCACTTTCTGTGTTAAAACTGGGAGAGTTTCAGGCCAATTGAGATGGTGGGTCACCCATGCTATGTTCTGCCTTGGGTTGCACATCCTGAGGATGGTGGATGGAGGCATCTCTCTGCCCATGAATACACCTTTCAGAAAGTCAGTTCCAGGGACTTCCCTGGTGGCGCAGTGGTTAAGAATCCGCCTTCCAATTCAGGGGACACAGGTTCGAGCCCTGGTCTGGGAAGATCCCACATGCCACGAAGCAACTAAGCCCGTGCACCATAACTACTGAGGCTGCGCTCTAGAACCCTCGAGCCACAACTACTGAAGGCCGCATGCCTAGAGCCCATGCTCCACAACAAGAGAAGCCACCACAGTGGGAAGCCCAAGCATTGCAACAAAGAGTAGCCACCGCTCGCTGCAACTAGAGAAAGCCCGTGTTCAGCAACAAAGACCCAACACAGCCAAAAATAAATAAATAAATGTATAAAAAAAAAAATCTAAAAACTGAGGTTACTACAGACTTCTCACTGGCTTCTAACTCTAAGAGGGAACTAGAGTACTGTCTCCCCTGTCAGGGCCTAGAAACTTCCCTTGCTCATTCAAAAGCCATCAGTGTTAGCCTTCACCACATGCCTGAGGCTTTGGTTGGTGAGAGCCCATCTCTGGCTTCAGGACAGCCACCTCATACTGTGAATGGGGTGGGGGGGTTGTCCTTGAACCACCATTCAGAGACAGCCTCCCGCCTTGGAGTAAACCTGCATTTCACAGAAGGACAATGAGGTCTTTCAAATGCTTTAATAACAATACTACCAGTGATCACACCTCTGTCCGAGTGCTTACACATACTGTTTTATTAAAAGCTTTTTAAATCCCAGTATGACAATCAAGGATAACCAGACTGGAGAGTTACTTGCACAAGTTCACAGAGTGGAAAGTAGCAGGGAAAGGGTAATAAGACTGCCTCTTAAATCCCCAACTCAAAGGCCTACTGGGCCCATTTCAGTCTATGAAGTGAGTCTATCCCATCCCAAGGGGGTTACATGCAGCTGATGAAGCTTAAGCCTTAGAGCTCCTTAACTGCACAGGGCACTTAAAGTCTTTCCATGGTCATGTGTTTTTGTAAAATTTGCAAAAGTAGGCTACATGTGTATTCTTTTTCTGAAAGAAGTGTTATATTCTTCAGACTCCACAAAACCTGATTGACTCCAGAGCATCAGAACATGTCCTCTAAGCTCTTCAACTCCTCCTCATGCTTCAGAGGGCGAAAGGGCATGACTTTCCTCTGCAAAACCTTCCCCATCTCTCTGTATAGCCATTTCCCCCTATTGTACATTTTCAGAGCACCATGTACCTCCCATTCATAACCAGAGCTGCAATTTTAACATCGACTTGTGCAATTATGTGATTAAAATCTATCTCCCCTGAGAGACTGTTCACTTCAGGAAGGCAGAGCCCATGTCTACCTTCACTTGTATCTCCAGTGCCTATCAGGGTGCTTGGTACATGGTCAGAGCTCAATAAATGTTTCATAAAATAATGCCAGAATATTGTGTATATTGTGTGCATAAAAATTATTTTAGTTAAGTTTATTTTGAAGAATTTGTTGTACCCTTAGAAATAATTGGAGACCACCAGAAATTCTGCAGAATTAGGGCTGAGTGTCACTGCTCTAGGTTAATATCTAGATATTGTATCTAAATATATCTAGATAATATAGGGTGACACACATACACTCTAGTGGGATCACCATTTCTACCTGGGGAAACTAAACCCCAGTTGTCTGAGAATCTGAAAATATCTCATTTTTAATACTCCATTTACCTCCAGAATTCCTTGAAATACAGATAGGAGAAAACTCAGCAATTACACAATACCCAGCAAACAATCCTTGTGGGATGCTGACAGTAGAGTTCAAGTTTGAGAGTCATCATACATCATTGTAGTTTCAATCTGGTGCTTCAATTATACAATCCTTCTCAATATTATCAGTAGTTAACATTTATTGAATACTTGCTTCGTGCCAGGCACTGAGCTAGTTACCTTACACGCACTAGCTAAATCCTAACAATGTGCTTATGATACTACTATCGTCATTTTACAAAGGACAAAACTGAGGCTCAGAGAGGATAAGTTAACTCGTCCAAGGTCACAGAGTGGTGAAGCTTGAGGAGGAAAAGACTCCTGGTTGTCCTAATATTCATTCTACCCTTCTTTCTTTCTTAGTAAAATCTATAAATTCTAGATGAGCACATGGCTGCCAGTATAATGTCTGTATTCCCCAGCCTTCCTCGGATCTAGCCATGAGATGAAGCCCAGACCCGTGGGAAGGGGGCAGAATTCGTGCTTGCTTGTAGAAGGAAGGGATGTGGACTTTTGTTCTTTCTTCCTTCTCCACTGGCTGGAAAGTAGACTTGGTGACAGAATTGGGAGAAACTGCCCTGATGGTTATGGCCCGACTAAATTCACTGGGATTTGAAGCCAGGTCTGTCTAATGCTAGAGTCTATGCTGAGCAAGGCCTTCAAAGGCCTTTCAAAGGCAACTGTGTTTATGAAGAAATTAGCAGAACTCAGCAGTAACCTGCTCCTGGAAACAAAAAGGCGTTGGCAATAAACCCGCATTGGGATGGATGTCCACTCCAAAACTTATTAACTGAGTGACCATGGGCAAGTTTCTTAACCTCTCTGTCCCTCAGTCTCCTTATCTGTAAAATGGGAATGATAATAGTAGCTACCTCATAAGGCAGATGTGAGGACTAAGCAAGACAATACACATGAAAGAGCTCAGTGCTATTGCCAATTATATTGTAAACAGCAGTGAAAATTAGTGATTACTATTATTGTAATTATTCCACTGTATAATCAACTGCAGAGCATTGATAATATTGTTGATAGTACCAAAGGGGATTTAAGATGATATATTTTATTTATTTTTTTATTTTTTTGCCGTGCCACGTGGCTTGTGGGATATTAGGTCCCCAACCAGGGATTGAACCCATGCCCTCGGCAGTGAAAGCATGGAGTCCTAATCACTGAACCGCCAGGGAATTTCCAAGATAATATATTTTAAATGCTTGGTATAATCTTTAGCATATAGTAGGCACACCACAAATGGTAGTTTTTATGAATACATACATATTCAAAATAGAAAAGGATCCCTCTCCCCACAAAAAAGGCAAGGAAATGAATGTGAATAAAGACATTTCAGTTTAGATAGGATGGTGTTAATATGTATTTTTCATCCTCTATTTGCAGAGCAGGGATTATAACAATAAAAAAGAAACCCTAATATTCCTTTCTCTACTGCTTTAACTGAAAAGCTATTTCCTAGGGCAGGCTTTGCCAAAGACATTTGACCTTGAGACCTCACCCAATTTAAAGCCCTGCTGAAAATCCTTTCACTTAAATGTAACATCAATGACAAAGAAATAACTAGAGTTAGTGAAATTCACAACAGATGATAAAAGAACTGTAGGGTGTGACCTACTGTTAAGAGACAGATGAAAGGAAACTATTGTGTCTTTCTAGAGAAAAAAAAACAGACTCATTATTTGAAAAACCCAAAATAAACATTGATTTTAAGAACAGAAGACTTGAATTCTGGTCTTATCATTATCCTGGTCCTTTAGCTGCCTTTGAACCTCCTAGAATTGGTCATAGGAACTTGTAGAAGAATGTGGAAAGTATGAGGATAAATAACAAATAATTGAAATGGTCATTTTAGTTCTTTAAAGTAGTTCAAAAGAAACATTTAAGATTTTCTCAGTTACTTTCTGCGGAAGACTCTAAACAATGAAACAACTTTAGTGTGATCATTTCCTTCCACCTGGGTTGCTAGGGTTTCCTTTATTGCTCATTCATATGCACATCATCACTAATATTAATTAGTAGCTTTTCCTGGTAATAGTTTTACCACAACACAAGGAGAGAAACACAACACAAGCTGATCCTGGGACCAGCATCTTGGTGGATGAGTCGATTCAGTTAGACGTGTATTTGTGGAATGTTACTCGAGTGCTAAGGAACACCTTTGATTGGAATAACACATTACAGTTTTCAATTTACTTTCACACACATGAACTCGTGTGGCTGTGGTTCCAGGGTCACAGTACGAGGGCTTGAAGATCTGGGGTCTTAGCACTCTCAGGTCGCTCTGTGCCTCTCTTTTCCAATATGTGAAATGGAGGTAATGCTACTTTATCTGTCATACGGAGTTGTCCTGTTGGTTCAAATGAAAATATATGCATGGGAATGCTTTGCAAACTGTAAAGTTCTGTGTCAATAGAAACTATCACTTTAAAGTAATATTAGAGATGAGGAAATCAGGCTATGAAATGTCCTTGCACTTGCTAAAGTTGTCTGGGCAGGTAATGGCAGAGCTAGACTCCACCATTCCTCCAAAAAGAAATACATAGGGAGAGGAGGTCTGTCATTCTTTTTGGCCACCCAGCAGCTGAACCCCCTTGCCTTTGTTTTGAAGAATCCCTCCACCTCAGAGGCACATGCCTCCTTTCTGTTCCTTGTCCTGGCCTCACCTAAGCCGGGGGTTGGGCTATGACCTGGGCCCCCAGGCTGCTGTCCTCACTGAGCTCCTCTGAGGAGTGACTTAGATTTTGTTCCAGATGTTAACATCGCAAATCTGGTCCTCCTGAAGAAGCGTCTGTGAACTACCCAGTATCTTTAAAATCAGTGCTCTCCAAACTGTAAGGTGGCTACAAATCACCAGGAGATTGTGTTAAAAGGTAGAGTGGGACTCAGCAGGTCTGGGTGGGCCTGAGATTCTGCGTTTCTAACAAGCTTCCAGGTGATGCCCCCGCTGCTGGTCTGTGGACCCCACTTTGTGCAGCAAGCCTTTTCTAAATTTGTTCTCAGTTTAACTAATACCCTAATATTACAGAGTCTGTCATCAAAAATGGGGGGAACAGGGTTTATACATAAAACAGTACTGAAACACATGAAAAGGAAAACGTGCAATTTTTCTAGGATGATAATTATTCTATTGTCTTCTAGAAAAAAGCCTGGATGATGTTTAACTTTCAAAATTAAGGTGAATCAAAATTGTGTTGAGGGACTTCCCTGGTGGCGCAGTGGTTAAGAATCCGCCTGCCAATGCAGGGGACACGGGTTCGAGCCCTGGTCCGGGAAGATCCCACAGGCTGTGGAGCAATTAAGCCCGTGCGCCACAACTACTGAGCCCACGTGCTGCAACTACTGAAGCCTCTGCGCCTAGAGCTTGTGCTTGGCAACAAGAGAAGCCACCGCAAGGAGAAGCCCGTGCACTGCAGTGAAGAGTAGACCCCGCTCACCGCAACGAAGAGTAGACCCCGCTCACCGCAACGAAGAGTAGACCCCGCTCGCCGCAACTAGAGAAAGCCCACCCGCAGCAACGACGACCCAATGCAGCCAAAAAAAAAAAAAACCAAAAAAAAAAAAGTTGTGTTGTGACATTTTATTGTTCTGTAACAGCCCTAGAGTTAATTGAAGACACAGTGATGTACTGTAAAATTAGATGTGGAAATGATTCTTTGAGGTAGTTACGTCTTCAGAGGCACGATTACAGTGGGAGCATAATGGGTGTAGGAGGGCAGGAATGCCAACTTCCTGACTAAATTCACTTTCTTGGAATCCCTTCCTCATACACTCCCTGTCTCTTTAAGTAACTGAGACAAAGAGAAAGTTCAGCTAGATAAAGGTAAAAGCAGAGTGGCCCTCCCTAAAATTATGGTAACAGGTGTCAGCCATAGAAGCCTAAAGACTAGTGTCTAAGTCATCTCGAGCTGCCATAACAAAATACCATAGCCTGGGTGGCTTAAGCAGACATTTCTTTCCCACAGTTCTGGAGGCCGGCAGATTTGGTCTTTGGTGAGGGTCTGCCTCCTGGCTCACAACTAGGCTGCCTTCTTGCTATTTCCTCACATGGTGGAGAAAGAGAGCTCTGGTGTCTTTTTCTCTTCTTATAAGGATATGAATCTCATTTTGGAGGGCTCACCTTCATGACCTCATCTAAACCTAATTACCTCCTAAAGGCCTCACTTCCTAATGCCATCACATTGGGGGGTTAGGGCTTCAACATATAAATTTGGGGGCCGGGAAGCGGGGGAAGATTCAGGCCATTACAATTAGATAAAAGATTCTTCTAGATTCTTCTAGATAAATGATTTAGCTTCAGTGCTGGGAGTCTGTCAGTTCTGGGCAAAGTTCCCTGTTGTCAGTGGTGGTGTGTTTTTGCTGTAATGAACATGCACCGTGGTGAGCTCTGACTGACAGTAGAACAGTGGGCAACACCCTCTTTCCCTGTGGAGCCTGGAGGATGGCACGTTTTGTCAGTTGGAGAAGCAGATGCATAGCAAGCCCTAGGATGCCATGTAAAGTACCTTAAACAAAAAAGTTGGATGCCCTTGTTCTAGAAAACAAACAATGCAAGCTCCAAGGTAGCTCAGAACTCAAGAGAATATATCAAATGGCCTTTAGGAAGAAAACCAAGAGTTGCTTGAACACATAAATAAAGATTTCCCCTGGCTAATGTCAGCACCCAAAGAACAGCTTACTGTTGGTTTCTTGTCTGCACCTGCCTTTCCAGGACGGAAACAGAAAACAAGAGTCTAGGACACAGAGAAAACAGACATGGAGAGAAAACTGAGTAGTTTTTTTGCCATAATTAAGTCAGAAAGTGGCTGGTCTTCTCTGAATCACAGCTTACATAAGCAATTCTCACCCTGGTATTGCAGTATTTAAGGAATTCTCCTAGATGTCTTCAGGAAATCCTCTCTTCAAATCTCTCTCCACTAACACCCCTTCTCCAAAAATTAAAATAAATAAACTTACATTTTTAATCTAAAAACGTGCATGACACATACAAATTTCATAGAGTACATTTAATATCAAAATCAGATAAAGTATTTTTAACAGAATAGTGCTAATAAATAAATAATAGTGTTAATAATAAATAAATAAATAGCAAAATTTGTTACTAAGATGCACAGACCTTTGAGATATATTGTAGCATAAGAACAAACAAATTGAAAAATAGTGCATATATCATACAATTTTTGAAGCAAACATACACACACAATGTTTTTTATAATATAGATGAAGATGCAGGGAAAATGGTCTGGAAGAGACACTGTCAACTGAGATGAGTAATTATCCCAGCAAAGGATTAAGCAGTAACCACCACACACACAAATCTAGTCATTGACCTTACCTAGAGAGATCCCCAAGAACAAGCCCCATTTGGGCCTCCGAGAACCAAATGTGCTGGGCAAAATCATACACCAATACATTTAAATAAAAGGAGAAGGAGATGGAAAAATAATCACCTTATCCCATTGCTCTCCTCTCCCACTCAAATAATGCCTTGGACTCCACTCTCTCAGGCAAAAAGAGTCGAAAACTAAAAAGTGAAACAAAATAAAGATGAAGAAGTTAGCTCTGGGCCAGGGCATCCCAATCATTTGTGGGACCCTGGGCTAGAGTACAAATGGACATCCATATGTAATATGTCTAAACATGTAAAAGTTACAAATTGAGTGAATGCACTGTTTAATGAAATATATTTTGTCTTCCTGCCTTGACAAATATTCCCGTCAAATATTCATTTGATTCATTTGACAGGAAGGACAGGTCAAGTGAGACTTCTCAGAGTCATACACCAGCACGAGGCAGCATTTGGAGAGCCAGCTTGGGGTCCGTGGGCTTCCCTCTTGGTTTTCCGCTGCTGGTCCGTCTGTGTGGCGAGGGGCTCTGTGCACGTGTGTAGGCCACTCGGCTTGCACACACAATCTACCCACATCCCTTTAAACAGCTGCACCTGGTCTCCCTGTGCCCTGGCATGGCTCTTTAGTGCTATGACCCACCCTTAGAAAGCTGGACCTGGGGAAAGTCCTATGCTGGCCCTGGAAGTGAGCTCAGGGCCATTTGGACAGGGATGTGGGGGTCTCTCATCCCCTGAGATTGGTCTAGAAGTGGGAGGCAGAGCACAGGCTCTGGAAGGGCACATCCCTTGGGGACTCCTTAGCCCGTGGGAGGTGTGATTGGAGGAGGGCCATGGAAGGGTCTTCTGAAGCCAGGGTCCCAGGGTTGGGCTCCCTCTTACACTGGTCTAAAGTCAGTACTATTCTTGGTTTGGGGATGTCCTGGGCTCGGGTCCTGATGAGTTAAGGGATTTCAAGGGTCATTTTGACTATGTTATATATAGATCCCAAGTCAGTGAATTAACTTATTCTTCCCACTTTGTACAAAACATGGATATTTAAAAATGTGCATTAAGACTTTCTTCTCCATGAGAGATGCCCAGGACTGGGTCAGAGACTGACTAATGAAACCAGATCTACCTCTTTCACCACATCCCCTTATTTCATTGGAGTAGCAGGCAGAATCGTTAACACTGTAACTTGTTCTCTCTCCCTCTTTTGCAGAGTATGGTTGAATTTACCTAAAAGTGCAAATGATGTGATTCCACCGCACTAACTCTAGGATCTTATTTCCTTTTGTATGAGTTATTATTTGGCTGCATAACAAATTACCCCCAAATATAACAGCTTAAAACAGCAAAAATTTATTATTTCATAGTTTGTGTGGGTCAGGGATATGTAAGTAGCTTAGCTGAGCGGTTGTGGTTCAAGGTCTGTGATGAGATTGCAGGCAAGCTGTCCACGAGGGCTGCAGTCGTCCCAGGACTCAGGTGAGGCTGCAGGATGCTATTCCAAGTCCACTCACATGGTTTTTCAGGCTTTAGTTCATTTGCTTATCATATCACAGGGGCCCCCTGGAAGCCAAAGGAGAATTTCCGGAAGGAGAGAAGAGTGAGGCAAGAGTCAAGTGAGACAATGGCATTTGGAAAAGGGTAACTCAGATCTGGCCGCTGCAAGGTAACTTCCCAAACCAGGGTCTGCCAACAGGTGCTGTGTCAGGCTACCTGGGGAACTTACGAAAAATATACCAATGGTATATATATCCTTAGAGTTAATAATACTGTACTGTATATTTGAAAGTTGCTAAGACATTATATCTTAAAAGTTCTTGGCACAAGAAAAAAAACTTTTAGGGCTTCCCTGGTGGCGCAGTGGTTGAGAGTCTGCGTGCCGATGCAGGGGACACGGGTTCTGTGCCCCGGTCCAGGAAGATCCCACATGCCGCGGGGCGGTTGGGCCCGTGAGCCATGGTCGCTGAGCCTGCGCGCCCGGAGCCTGTGCTCCGCAATTCGAGAGGCCACAACAGTGAGAGGCCCACGTACCTTAAAAGAAGAAAAAAAAAAAAAGAAAAAAAGCTTTTATAATTATGTGTGGTGATGGATGTTAACTGGACTTATTATGGTGATCATTTCACATATATACACGTATCGAATCGTATTGTTCACCTGTGACTAATAAAATGTTGTCTATCTCGATAAAAAAATACCAGTTCCTAGACCCACTTTTATTTTTTTTCTTTTGCAAGGAAGCTGAAGTCAAGAAAGTTAAATGACTTCCTCAAGTTCCCATAGCTAGAAAAAGACTGAACTGCAAAAGACTGGAATTCAGGCTCATGTGGAAGCCACAGTTCCTGTGAGGAAGAAACACACAAGCCTGGCTCCCCACAAAGCCAGGTGAACATGAACCCTGGCTCTCCATTGACCGCCAGGCAGCCTTGTGTGAGTTTGAGTCATAGGATCTGTACAAATCCTGGTTAGCTTATACGTGAAGAGGGTGTAATATTTACCTTGTGCTGCTCTTGTGTCGACTAAGTTATTTTTAATGCTCCCTTGCCAAATACCCCTAGGAATATACCTATAGTTTACATAGTTGAATTTATTACTCATTGCAGTGAGGGAAATGCACACCATCCTGGAGGTGTGTCAGTGAGAGGGTATTAGGAAATATTATTAAAGGATTTGGGTTTTGGTTAGCTGATTGGGGGAGGGCTTAGGAAAGCAGGGGTCATTCTGTGAGTGTGTATCCTTATAAATCTTATCCATAGAAGGGCAGACCAGAGAGAGGCTAAGGTTGTTAACTGGCAAAGAAGCAGCAGTCACTCTAACTGGCCAGGATAGCTGTGTGTCCACTGTGGCTTGGACAATGTTCATATTTTGTCTGTGTTTAGACATGATTAAGGAGTCTTGTTCTTGTCTTCATCCGTCGTGGTCACAGAGGGGCCTTGTCTCAGGTTGATGTTCTGAGAAATTGTCCATGTTTATGTTTAAGAGAAGAACACCAAGGCCCAGTGATAGCACCAGGCCAGCTTTTTCCCAGAGTATAAAATATCTTATCATAGTGCTGGACTCACAGGTGTTCCATCCATCGGGGTTATGACTTTATTGCACACACCCACACTGCCAGCGCTGGACCTTTGAGTCACAGTGAGGCAGGTAAGGGGTGTTCTGGGGTGGAGACATTTGGAAGAATCTAAAAGACAGATAGCCCTTCAAGCTGCAATGACCCATTTTCTTTCCCAGCTTCAGGCCTTACAATGAAGCCATTTCCATGAGGTCAAGGGTATGTCAGCCTGTGGAGAATTTCAGAAAGAGCAAAGAGGGGTCTACAAGGTAGAGGGCCTATCCCTGACCCTGCCTTGCTTCCTTCCTGCGGTAAAGGCATTCTGAGCACTTACAGGGAGTCAGACCTGGGCTAGATGCTGTGTGACACCCACCACCTCATGGAAAAGACAGACAAGCAAACAATCACGCTGAAAAACGGGGTAAAAGAAAACAGTGTACAGTGAGGATCACCGACAGTCTAAGCAGTGGTTCCCACACTTTCCTGAATATTGCAATCACCTGGATCTTTGAAAAATACGGATGACCGGATCCCACTGCACTAACGTAATTGATCTGGGATACTACTCAGAGCGTCGCGATTTGAAAAACTCCCTGGGTGATTCAATGTGCAGCAAAGTTTGGGAGCCATTGGTTTAGTCCATCCATCCTTACAGTCTGGGGTGGGGTTGGGGTCACACAGCTGTTTTATCTTAGGAAGCTGTGGTCCCTCATCCCAGACACTTGTATTTAGGTACAAAATCTGAAAGAGAATTTTAGGGGGCTTACAGATCCTAAGAAGAGAATCTGGGAATTCCTTGTAGGGGGCGGGCTGTCTCGTGAAAACCCCCCAGACACAGGAGTATCCAATCCCAATCAGAATGACATGAGCTCTCCGTCCCCTCCAGAATGGCGCTGCCCCTTCTCTTTCACAGAAGCCTCGGCTTAGTGTTACCAAACCTAGTTCGGGCATGGCGGTAAGCAGCTACCGAGCGGCCGGTGTGCGCACGTGTGAGAGTGTGCACACGTGTGAGACTGTGCACGCCGGCGTGCACGCGCAGGGCCGCCGGCGAGCGTGCGTTTCCGTTAGGGAGCCCGGGCGGCCTCCGGCTGCGGCTGCAGCAGCGCGCCCGGCGCCCCCTCCCGCCCAGTCCCCTCCCCCTGTGGCTCTCGCTCGCCCTCTTCACTCCCCCGGCAGCGTCGGCCGCCGCCGGGTGCGCAGGGCAGCGGTCGGCACGCGAACCCCTCCTGCAGGCGCCCCGGCGTCACTCGAGCGTCGAGCCCCGGGCGCGCGTGTCGTCCCCCCCGCCCCCCAGTCGCCGAGCGACGATGAGCCGAGGCGCGGGGGTCGCGGAGAGCAGGTGAGCGCAGCCGCGGGGCTGGGGGGGGGGGTTCGGAAGGAGAAAGGGAGAGCGGGGGTGGGGTGCGGCTGGACCCAACATCGCCGCGTGGAGAAGGGGCTTTGCGGTCTTTAGCACCCTTCACCGCAGGCTCTGCTTTTGCCCTTTCCCGGGTGGGGCGAGGGCTCCACTCCCGCCCCGGCATCCCCGCTCGGGCCGCACAAACAAAGCGCGCTTCGGCGGCGGCGCCTGCCCCGCGCGGGCACGGAGCATGGGGGAGGCGACGCGCCGTGCTTCCCGGATTCCGACCCCCTACCCCCCGGCGGGGGGCCCGGGCGGTCGCACCTGGGTCGGGCGGGCGGCGGCGGGGTCGCGCGCAGGTGCTCGCGCGGAAGGCGGTGGCGCGCAGCTCGGAGGCCCAGGGCTCCCGGCCCGGAGGCGGGGCTACGGGCAGCACTGCTGCCCCCTGTCGCCGTGGCTTCCCCACGCCCGATACCCGTCCCCAGGCGGGGGCCGCGGCGGCGGCAGCGGCAGCGGCAGGTGGGCCCGATTTGTTCACATACACCTGGCGGCGGGCGGGTGAGGAGGAGGGCAAGTCTCCCTGCGGCATCCCCTTTGCTCTCAGCGTGTGTGGACCGGCTCCCTTCCCGCCTCCGTGGCGACTCCCCGCCCCCGAGGCCCGGTTCTGCTGTCCTCGTGTGTCCTCAGCCCTTGAGCTTCAGCTCTCTGGAGTTCCTGCGCCCTCTGCACCTGGAGGAGGACTGGGGAGGTTTTACTGAACACCATCGGTGCTTTGGCCACCCGGCTTTCAAGTTGAGTTGAGAGCAGGATTATTTCCTTAATCCCTTTTTGCCCATGCGTGGGACACCCCCGTGCCCATCATCCCCTCAACGCCCCCATGGGGCCCTAACAATGTCTTGAGCACAGTAGGCGCGAGATCAACATTGCTTGAAGGATTTCTGCTATTACTGTAAAGGCAGCCAAAGCCTCTGTGTGTTATCAGCGTCCCACAGCCCTTTAAAAGCAGTCGCTTTTTACGTGGAAATGTCTATTAAGAGCTGGTTTGGGATGTTGTGGTCGAGTTCTCCAGGACTCACTGTCATCTGCAAAAGCAGGCTTTTAGTTGTAGTGTTTGGATGTAGTGTTTCAGCAGAAGACACGTGATGGCTTGTTTGTGAAATATATCCTTTAGGTAATCCTCTCATTGCGGTAAATACTTGCAGGAAGTCCAACCCAAAACAGTGCAGAAACGCTCGGCAAAGATTGAGACTGCAGAGGATTTACTTATGGGACAGTCCCTGACACAAAAAGAGTTTCTACAGGATCAGCTAGAGGAAGAAGAGAATGTGGAGGTTTAAAGTGTTCACGACTTCAGTTTTTCGTGGATCACTCATGGAACATTAGGCCCAGCTTCTCTCAGGAAGGAGGGAGGGATTTTTTGGTTTTGTTTTGTGTGTGTGTGTGTGTGTGTGTGTTTTCCTCATCTATTCTTTAAAACACTGTTGCAATCAGGAAGACAGTCTTAGAAAAGTCTGTTGTGGATGGGTTTTGCTGTTGAATTTCTTGAAATTAGCATGAATAAAACTACACTAGGACATAAACTGTATCTGCTTGGAATATCAAAAACACTTCTTTAGAGGTGGTCAGTTAACAGCAAGACTTGTAAATGATTGTTAAAGAGAACTTTGAATCAAATGATGGCTAAAAGTAAAGTTTAGTTCCTCAAAAAAAAAGAGGAAGTGAATTGAAATACAGTGTGTGAAATTAGCACAGTTACTTACACAGAGCTAAGGAAACCTCTACCAGCCTTCCTAGTATTACTCTGAAATGTGGGCCCTCCCCACCACTTTCCCTGAAAACTTGTTAGTCCACCACCTGTGATCTTTCTGGCCTTTTCAGGGAGATTGTTGCCAATGTGTTGTTTAAACACTTCAGTGTGGTAACAAAGTCCATATAATTGTGTGTCAAACAAGGGGGAGGTGCAATTCTCAGTAAACTGTAAAGCACCCTACAGATGTTTGCTACAGTTAGTTGTAATTTGTAGTAGCTGCACAGTATGCGCCTCTGATACTTAGCCATTCCCACATTTTTGGCCATTTAAGCTGTTATTACTGATTTTTCAATATGAAGGAAGTCTCTGTTTTATATCTAATTACCACATTCTTTCTGTCATTTATTTGTCCAATGAACATTTTTTTTTTTTAATAGTGCGAACTATATGCCAAACAGTGTGTTAGATGCTGGGGATGTGGAATCCTTGGCTGCACACGCGCACGCACAGACAGACACTCATACACACTCCTTGTTCCTTCAGTTCCCAGAGGTTATAAACAGCTTATAAACAAAGCACAGCAAAGCAGTGCAATAAAACCATTCATCTAGGTGTACATCAGACCTGGGCTCAGGGAGGGGAGTAGAGAAGGGATCCCTTCTACGGGGCTGAGTCATGGGAGTCACCCCACCCCATCCGTC